CGCAGAGAGCCGGGACTGCGCGGCCGCTGCGGCTCCGGCTACTCCGCGGGGTTCGGCGCGCGAAATCCGACCAGCATGGCGGTGGAGGAAGAAGGGCTCCGGGTGTTCCAGAGCGTGAAGATCAAGATCGGTGAGCGTCCAGGAGCCGGCGGGGGCAGCGGGGTCTTCGCGGGTCTCGCGGCGGGCGCCCCCAGGTCCCCAACCCGCTCCTGGAGATGAGCGCTCCCCGGTCGAGGTTCTCCCCGCACTTCCCCAGGGACTGCTGGCCCGCGGGCCGCGCCCCCTGCCCACCTCCTGGGTACCGGCGTTGGCTGCGCCCCCTCCACCTCCCCGAGGACGGCAGGTCCGCCAGCCGCGGCTCCCGCCCCACCTCTCCCAGAGGACAGTGCCTGGGCCGAGCCGGGCCCCGCGGCNGCCCCACCTCTCCCAGAGGACAGTGCCTGGGCCGAGCCGGGCCCCGCGGCTTCGGGGAACTCAGCCCCCCGCGCCTCGCCTGCGCTGGAGCGGCCCCAGGTCCCTGGAGGTGCAGCGCCGGGGTTGGGGTCGCCTGTACGGAGGGAGTGGTGCGTTGCAGAACGCGGGTTCCGGCCCCGCTAGGAGTGTGTGCCCGCGTGCGCGATTGTGTGTACATGAGTGTGTGCCCGCGTGTGCATAAATGCGTGCGCGAGCGTGGGGACTCTGGATGTTGGCATTTCAGGTGACAAATCCACTCATTTCAGCGTTCGGCATCTCCTCAGCGGCTGCACCCAGAAACTTCCTTTTCTGTGAACGTGTAAGCCCTTCCACATGTTCCCCCAGGGGTCTGGGGCCGGGCTGGGCTGCTGACCGGTGCCTGTGTGTGCTCACGTCTGTGGAAGTGAATGTGCGTTGTGTGTGCATATGTCTGCCTGTGAACGTGTGGAGCCCGCTCTGCCCTGGGCTCGCTCCCGGCCGGAGCCGCTGGAGCACCCCTCCCCCACCTTCCATTGAGAACTGGCGGAGGGAGCTTTTGGCCACCAGGGCCTTCCATTCAGGCCGTGTCACCAGGGAGGGTTCTGCCTTTCTCACTGGACTTAAGAACTGGGGAAGGGAAATGAAATGCAGATTTTGGAGTGGGCTGGTGGGCTATATCTGGACTTCCTGGGTTTATCTGGAGAGATTTGGTTTTTCCCCAGTTGTGTTTTATCTTGGGAGGGTGATGTGCACGTTTTCCCCCCCCAAAACAAGATCGGTGCCTGGAATTACTGTTACACGTTAATGCCATAAATGTGCTGTGTGAGAGGACAGTTCATGCTGGAGAGGGCTTGGTCATCCCCAGGGTCTTTTTCCCTGCTGAGCTCCTTGTCCCTGGGAGTGCTCCACATTCCCATCTATCCCCTTGTGAAGAAGCACCGCAGGGAACAGAGCCAGGCACCTAGTGACTGTTGAAGTGTCAGTTGTTGATGACATTTGATGCTGCCTGAGGAATTTCAGCTACCCCAAACCAGCATGTTGTTTCCTGTCTGCTTTATTTTGGTTTATGGATCATTGCTGAGACGCTGTTGATTTTTGGCTCAGAAGCACTGCAGATAGCATGTGGCAGCACTTTAGCCTTGAGGAGTCAGCCTGGGGAGGGTTTCTCTTGTTTACTTGGTTGAAGTCTGCTGCACTCTCATACTGAGAGATTCAACACTGAACTCCACCTGAAGTGGAGGCAGGGGAAAGTGCCTCTGTTAGGGTCCCCTCAGCCAAGAGCCCTCACTCAATGCCTAGGTCCAGTGAGTTGTGTGGCAGACCCTGGAAGACTGGAGGTGCTTCCTTAATGTAGGGGATAAGATGGGTGCATTGGAGTGGGGGTGTGGCTGTGGGGGAGTGTGCCAGGGTTCTGGGTGCAGTGGGCAGGAATGGGTCTGGGGACAATGTGGTCCAGTCCCAGCATAGCCAGCCAGCCTCCGACTCTACTCAAGGAAGGTTCTGGAATGGTGGTTTGTTAAGCAGAGAGCATTGATTTCTTTCTAGGATGGCACAGTAGGTGAAGCAGGAGGGGAGCAGCTCCACTAGCTTGTCAAGTGCATGCTCGTGGGAGGGTTCTGGACCCCAACATAGAAGGGTCTGGTGTAGAAGAAGGGGGTAGAGGATGCTACTTGGTTAGGTGGTCCCTCTTGTGTGCTCCACTTTAAGCAAGTGAGAGAAACACCCAACTCATCTGAGGATTCGTGCAGTGACTGGAACATCTGCTATCTCTAACCCCATGTGGGGAATGGGTATTGTTAGAGACTTTGGAGCCTCCCAATGTTTGGGAGCTATAGCAGTGAGTAGAAAGGCCCATACACCAGCCATCCAACTCTTTGGACATCGTTCCAGCTCTGAGAAGTCCCAGTTTTCTCTTCTTCCTGAGGAGGGTCTTTGCCTACAATGCTGGGCTACAGAGAGCGACGTCCCTGTCTCACCTTTGTAGCTGGGGGCATGCAGGGAGACAGTGCTTACACACGGAACAGCCAGGGCCCCCTCCTGCCTATGAGCACAGAAATGGGCAAGGCTGTGCCCCTGAGTTAGAGCCTGGGCTGGGCTGGGCTGGGCTGGAGACTCTGAAGGTGAACTGTGGGTGGGCTGGTTGGGGCATAGTCTCCTTTACCTTACGGGGAAGCCTGTTAGTAGAATAGAATGATAGTGATCCCGAGGTGGGTGGTGTGCTGATTTCTTACCCTAGTCCTCTGTCCGTGGCCAATGTCGCCTCCGACTTGCCTGAATGCCTTTGAAGGCATGATGATGAGGGACACTGGAGTTGATTTGTAGGAGAGGCAGATGTGCATGAGACTCCGCACACACGGTCACATGCACACGCTCCTCGCCTTCTTCGGAGAGACACTGGCCGAGCTGTCCATTCATCTCATAGCCTTGTCTGCAGGCTAGCTGGCTGCATGCCCTGTGTCTGCTCTTGGCTCGCAAGATGACCCAGGGCAAGTGTCCTCCCCTTTCATAGCCTCGTTTTTCCATTTGCAAAATGCAGGCTCTTATTGTCTCCTGTTTCCGGTGGGAGCTTACAAGACAGTGTTGTTCAGGCTCACATTAACACCCGCCCCCCTGGCTCCCAGAAAAAAGATAAAGCAAAAAATTCTCCCTAAAGTTATACCAGTAAGCAATGCCACTACTGTTGCTAAGAAAAAAGGCAGGACACTTGGGAGGGGATGAAGGAAGAGATGTGTTTTTCTTAGGTGTAGATGCTTTGGCCTTTAGTTCTTAAGTAGTTTTGGCAAATGTGATGGTACTTGGTCTCATCTAGAGGCTAAAGTTGGGGGAAATGGAAAAAAAATCTCCTTTTTCTTCTTCCCCTTTCTTTTTCTTTCCACCTTTTGCAAATGAGATAATACATAAGAAAGTACCAAATAAAAGTGAGATGTTTTTATTGTAACTATTTTGAGTCCTTGCCTTGAACCCGTTGTTTTCCCCACTTAAGTCTTGCAGTGTTATTTTGGATAGTTCTTCAGGACACTTAAAAATCTTAAACATCGTCTATCTTTGGTGCCAGCTATGAGTTGTTTTTACACCAGCATCTTATGCCATGTACACTGAACACACTTCCTATGAGATGACTGCTTTGAGGAAGTGTGTTCTGACTTTCCATGAGTCAGGACTTCAGCGCTGGAAGGGAAGCGGCTTGAAGATGTCTTGGCGCTGTCTGGGGGAGGAACCCACGAGAGCACTTCTGTTGGACAGTGTTTCTTGGGACCCACCGCTCCTTCAGGCATTTCGAGATAGCTTCACTTCCCAGTGATATTTTCCTTTTCCGTAATAGTTACTACTCATTTTTAAGTGTCATCTTATCTTGATAAGTGTGTTCAATTAAGAGCACTATACAAAGGCATTTCTCTCAAGCCAAAAAAAAAAAAAAAATAAGCCTAGCCTTGCAGTTCAGAGTGAGGAAAGCCCTCCTGCTCTCTTAATGGTTTTCCTCCTCCGTCTGAGGGTGCAGTTTGGGTCTGTTTGGTGTGCTGGCGTTTGTGTCCCATGGGAGGCTGAGCTAGAGGCTGAGCTGGTTCCTTGCTGCAGGCCTTCCTCTGATTCTGTCTCTTCCTTCTCGGATCCAGTGCAGCCGCTCCTCTTGTGCTCACAGGGCTCAGAGCAAGCTCTTGTGTTCCTTCTCTTTAAGGTTAAGCTTGTCTGCCAAGAAGGGCGATGGCAGTCTGGGTCCAGCACAAGCACATCGGAACTGACAGTTCCTCCCATTCAGCAAAACATGGCTGTGCTTGCAGGCCTGCCCCAGCTGCTGCCCTCCCTCCACCTAGTAGCAAACACAGTCCCACCGGTAGCAGGGGTTCCCTCAGGCAGTGTGCTGAGTGAGAGGAAAACAGGGAATCGTGGTAAGGGTCTCTATTCTGTGCCTCTCTAGTCTGGTGAGGAGGGGAGATGGTGAAAAGACTCAAACCACAGGGCTTGGGGCCTCAGGGTTCTAGGTCTGCTCTACTAAAAGTGGGAAATTGAAACCGATTTCCTCCATGGGAAACAGTAGTGTCATCATCACAGGGTCCTGTAGGGATCAGATGAGGTGGTGGTCCTGCTTAATAAGTTAAAATAGTTATTATTAGTAGTGGTATCTTCACAGGGCTGAGAAATTGTTTTCTCAATTAGAGAAAACATTTTGTAAATTTAAGGGAGTGATATCAGTGACATTAGTGTGTGTGTGTGTGTTTGTGTGTGTGTGTTTGACAGTGCAAAAAGAGACCCTGCTGGCCACACGTGGTTCTTGGCATCAGGGATTTTATATTCTCTTGAGCCTTTTGATGCTAAAATTAACCTGGATATTCTATTAACCGAGATCAGCTAGCTGCTGTGCTATTTTTAACCCCTAAGGACTAATGTGCAGAACTGGGCTGTGCCTGGGGAGTAGCTGGGCTCAGGGCCAAGGGTGATTTCAGCCTGTGGCTCCAGGTTTTGCCTGAGAAGGGGGGTGGGGGGGTGG